CTGATTATGATCTTTCTCTTAAGGAACATTTCTTAGTTTCCAGCAAATTGTTTACTCCATATATTTTCCGAATTTAAATGGAAAACATTATTACACGTTTGGCATTACTGGCATTTGGTCTGAAATGACTTATGCGCATGTGCCATGCCTAGTCTTGCGCAGTACATTTTGGGTACTATTTTCTTGTAAATTTCGGTACTTTTTGAATTGACGTTGCGGCAGCACTGTTTGTCAGTCTGTGGAAATAATTTGTTGGAGGTAAACATGAGACAAGTGTCAAAATCATTACGTTCGCTAAAATTCAAAGTCCAATATTTTCAGTAATTTTTCAGCAGATGCATATCACCGTCCACTCCAAATTAGAGTTTGAGAATATGAGTTATGAGCCTACGTTCATCTATAGAGAAAAAGTGTTTTTATTTCATAAAGGTGATTACGAAGGGCAGAATTGCTACTTAACCGTCATTAATTGGTCTTCTAACCTTCCTATCCCTTTTTCAACATGATTCAATTAAATAATGGTTACATAAATATCTCTTCTCATATTATGTTATCAATAACTTTCTAAGTCCGTTATGAGCCTTATATGAAATTTGTAAAAGGACATTGATATTCTCGAGTTGAACCAAAAACAATAATCTTTTATCTTCAAGAGAAATGAATGGCATAGAGTGTTTGTTTCCAACTGCGAACTTCTGAGGCCGGTTGAAAAGAACTTTTTTTGTATCATTTCATATATGAATAATTTGATATTTATCATTTTGATAACACCAAGTGTTCTCTCTTGATTTGTATGTGATCACATTTGCTTTTAATACCTTATTCAACGGATACTTTCCAACTACAGAAATTATTAGAAAACTGATTCTGGAACTGGTGCACGTTTTCTTGAAATTCCTACAATTAAGTACTTCTATAAGTGCACCTTGAAAAAATATACAAATCTTTGATAGGATTTATAGGTAGTGCTGTAGAAACTGAATACTCACATGCATGCTGGTTTGGCACCTTCCAATAGCTTTTTCTCACCAATGAAATGGATGGGAAAATGCTTTGAGCAAATGAAAGCACCATCAGGCAGATATTTCCTGACTGCATCCATCCACTGTTTCCTCTTTTTTTCTTCCTATAAGATTGACTGCGTCAATCATCAAAAACTTTTACTGAAATTGGAAAGATATGGACTAAGAGGTGCATCTCTCAACTGGATATCCTCTCCTATATATCTATATCTCCTACCTTGAAGGTAGGAGACAATATGTATCTCTCCAGTGTACGGTCAAAAATGAATTTCAGAGAATAAATTCTTAGCCTTTCAGTGTAGATATGGGAGTACCTCAAGGGTCCATTCTGGGCCTAATCCTTTTTATTCTATATGTAAACAATATAGACTCTGTTGTTTCTGAAGTTCATTATACAGCTTATGCCGACGACATTTCTATGATCATCTCGGCATCAGATGATGGAATATTGAAAGACAAATGTGCTTCTGCAGTTGAACATATATCAGAATTTTTCAATTATCATGATTTATTTTTTAATTCGGATAAAACAAATATTATTCGTTTTCATAATAGACAAAATAGGATGGAAGACTTCAGTTTCAGTGCTGATAATGTGACATACTCAAAATCGAATAAAAGTGTTAAATTCCTGAGTATTCTTCTTGATGAAAACTTGAACTGGAATGCTCATTGCCAGCATCTAATTTCTAAGCTTGATTCAATGAAATTTCTATTTATGAATCTGCGGACAGTTTTAACTACCACTCAACTAATGAGCATTTATTATGCTCAAGTTGATTCAAGACTGAGGTATGGTGTCTGCTTCTGGGGTGGGTCATCCATGACTCATAACGTATTCATTGCTCAAAAACGCATTATACGGTGAATTGCGAATGTCTCAAGGAGAGAATCTTGCAAATTTTCAAAAATTATCACATAACACTCACATCTGTTTATATATTTGAAATATGCAGCGACATATTCAAAAACAAAACACATTTCAAAATGAATAAAAATGTTCATCACTATGACACTAGAACAATGTTTTTATTCATTGAATGAATTTTTTAGATTAGATAAGTAAGGTATTATTTTAGTTTTAAGGTGTTGTTTCAACTTGTATGTTTCTTATACTCTGTTTTTATTATTTATTTTATTGACTATTCCTATACAATGTATATTGTCTACACGGAAATAAAGTATTATTATTTAAAAAAAAAAGTACAATGCGCAAATAAAACCATTCAAATCACCAATTGAAGGGGCAAGTGGAAGAAGGAGTTATGTTACAAATATGACTTTATGAGATATATCGGCTTTAGTAAAACATTCTGGCATTTTTTAATTGGAGATAGTTTTATAATTTGATTTGTGTAAAGACTACACTGTGCTTCTTTTTTTAGGATTTAAAGCTTCTTGCTATTATACCATTTTTTGATAAAAATCTCATTCCATACGTACATAACCCCTTCTTCCATTCCTGGCATGAAGGGACTAGGTCAAATAAAAAAATGTAGAAAGTGTTAAGTACTTTAATAACAACAATAATCCAAAATAACCATGCAATCCCTAAGAATCTCAACGAAGTTCTCGTAAATGAAAAATCTTCAAAACTCAAAAAATATAGGAACACATAAAAAATGAAAGTTGAAATGAATCATGAGATTCACTTGGCACGCCGTCTTTGTTGCTTTGAGGTGTCGATTTCTTCACCAATAATATTTTCATAGAACCCCCTATGTTCTTCTGAGATAAAAGGTAACTGCTCCCGAATATTCTGAATTTTTTTTTCAGAAATATTTCCTGTTTTGTTATGGATTCTGGTGAATTCAAATTCTGTAGGAGGCGAATAGTTTTTAAGCGGGTTATTTTTAAAAAGGGAAAGTTTTTTAAAGGGAATATACTCATCGTAGGAAGGTATATATGCCTTCAATAAAAGCAACTGATGTAAGCAAATCATGTGGAAATTCTTGTTTTGACCAGAGCAGGAGTCCGACCACACTGTCAGTTTTCTTCTTGTTTTCACATTCTCGCAAGTCTGCGCAAAATTCCATAAGCTGCTTACAACTTCCGCACTACCCCTACTGGCTACATCTTCGGTCCAGGTTTGCATTATCGATTGGTGGCCTTCAGTGGTGATGCAGTGGATGCCCAAATTATAAAACCAGATTTGTCGTAAGTAGAAAATCGTTGAAGTGGTGATTTTGGGCAAAGGCATTGTCTGCTGCAGATCGACTGTTATGTAGCATTCATTTTCGTCTTTCAATGCCCTTTCACGGTCCTTGGACATCAAATCAAAACCCAATTTCACATTATCTTTGTGTTCTTCAGTTGATTCTCCAGAGTCGCATTTGCTGCATGTATCACTTTTCGGGCTGCTGAACGACAAATTAAACTTAGTGGAGAAAATTCGTGAGTATGTTGATTTTTTTATCAAAAAATTTTCTGGCATGTTCTGTTCCTTACAGTCTTCAATGTATAATCTATACATGAGTGACATGTTCATATTTGGGGCCAAATATCTTTTATGTGGATTACTGTTACGGGAATAATGTGATTGTCCTGTGGGAAATTTATTAATATGCGAGATAATGGCTTGCTCTACAGCCTCACTTATTTTGTGTGGTCTGTTCATATGTCGACCCCGTTTATCTGGGGATGGAGATGATTGTATAGTTTTTAGTTTACTCTTGATAATGTCGACTTTTTTACGGCTGATTTGATATAATGCACAGAAAACTGTACAATTTATTGTGTTTTAACTGACTTATTAAAAAATCACAATATTAAGTTCTACTATGTAAGAAATTAACAAAAAATAAATAATAATTGCACAAAGAAACTTTCCTTCGGTTATCTTAAAAGATGCGATTTTGTTCCATCCTTTACATAAAAGAGGACGTATGCTTCTCCACTCACAAGCGACTTTGGTGAAATTGGTGACACGTGTGAATCGTTGTATTTGTGCCACGCGCTAGTATACGGGTGTCTGCAGTATGCTTTATAATGTCCTCTGTTAGTAGTCCCACTGTAATTTAAAAGTGCATATAGATTATAACAAGTAACCACATTTTCTCCTGCAAAATTGTCCATATCCAATCCTTCTAGAGGAAATTCGATGACATCATTCAATTTGCCTCTACTTTCCGTTGGAGAGAATCTTTTTAAAAGTATTACTAAAATATAGGGAAACTTGTGGATTGATAGGGAGGTCACCTTTACACCTTATTCCTCCTTCTTTGACACTTTTCACTTCAATAACCAATATTTTTCCAATAAAAATGTTAAAAAATGTACGGAGCTGCTTTTTGGTTACATATCTCTTCATTTTACGTTTTAAGGTTAATGGCATGGTTGGTACGACTGATGCAGTCCATATTCCTAAAGTAATTCAAATGTTTTTTAACTTCATTCTTTAGATCGTAAATTGGTTTTTGGTGGTGTATTACGAATTTGAAATAGTAGGCAGCGGCAAATACCAACCGCTTTTTTCTGAAATGTCACTAGTAACTAACCTAAAAATAGAATAATGTCACCAGGAGAAGCATTCGTTTTTAAATTAAGTTTTGTATAAGAAAAATGTTCATTATTGAAGTGAAAAGTATCAAAGAAGGAGGAATAAGATGTAAAGGTGACCTAGTGAATGAATGCTTGTGTTTTTAAATAGTTCATTTTGTGAAAAAGAAGGCTGAAAAGTTGCCCTTTTCAGAACTTTGAAGGGCCGTAACTTTGTAAATAAGGGAGAGCGCCGCTTTTCTTCTTTCGGATTCGTAATCTACGCATCAAAATACGTAAGTACACGCAAAATTTTTTTCAAAATCGCCGGGTGTCCACAAAACGAAAATTTACCCAATTTCAAAATACCAAAAGTTGAAAATTCTTTTTGACAATGACAGATAATAATTAATTTGACTGACTCAGCGGGGACTCGAACAATTCAAAATAGCGCCATCTTGGGAAAACTCTCGTAAGTATAGTTAAAAGAAACAGGTGGTTCCTTCAAGAGTTCAAAACAAAATCTAAGGGTTGCGAACACCACGGTTTCTAGGAATCTTACCATCGACATAACAAATACTTCTTGTTCAAACTGTTCAAAGATAATGGTTGCTGATGATTGTGGAAGAAATATTAAGAGAGAACTTGAATCTGTTGGGGATGAAGTGATTTTTGAAACAAATATCATGAAATGTGAAGCAGGTGAAACTGAAATGGTCAGTGGATCTGGAAAATATGATATAGATCAGATTAAAAGTGAAAGTGTCATTGATGTTTACCAGGAACCCAAATCAGAAAAATGTATAGAAGAAATAAGTGAAGGCACTCAAAATAAGTTCCTTGACATACAGGGTAAGATATGACTCATGATTCAAAACCCACATTTTCCTTCACCACAGGTACTGTAGTCTGATGAAGTGTTTTGGCATTTAGAAATTTAATCTCCAGCGATTCAAATCCAAAGCGAATCGCTACTCCCTCACAGGCACCGCCCTTAGAGCGCCTTAACGATTTTCCTGTAGTGCTTGTTTTGTCCTTTGAAAAAAAATTCCAATCCCATTCAATATGATCAGGTGGTTTCAATTTCAATGCTGGGTTTTTGTTGCTATGATATCCTCACCGGAATGAACATCTCCGTAATTTTTATGCTTTTTAATTTCTCTACCAGCTGATATTTTCATTACGTCTCAATTGACAAAATCTTCAGAATCACATCTTCTTGGCCTTCTGTGAAAAGATTGTAACACTCAGAATATTATCACCGTAAGTATGCCACTGTCAACATTTCGCACATTTGATGCAAATTCTTTGATGAATTTTTTTCGATAGCAGAAAATCGCCAGATACCCAAAACACTTCAAACTTTTATGCCTCTCACCAACAAACTAAACATGCTAAATAGATGAAACTATGAACATATGTTCAAAAGAAATGTACTAACATGAAAAAAATTGCTAATCGAATATACCTAGCCCTGGAAACTTGAACATTCACCTTATTTTTTTAACAGACCTCGTATTTTCTTTGTTATTGTATATTGAAAAATAGTAGAATATTCTGATATGCATTCTTGTGAGGAGGGTACAACTGTTGATCCTTCTCGGTGAGTGCATTTCAGAATTTGATGTATATGGTACATCCAGTTGTATATATATAAAAGGTTCTAACTTAGTTGAAAGATATAGTTTTAATCGTCTCCTGATGATGCTAACTTGTTTATTGAAACGCATGCGGAGAGAGTGCTCTAGTTATAGTGTGTGAAGAAGGCTTTCATTAGATTAATTTAATGCCAGACATTCCAGTTGTACCTATCAATCAAAATTGTGACATGATAATTAATTACAAGAAACCTCAAGAAAGAAATATGTTGGAATTGGCCGATAATTAATGAAAATCCATAACTAACGTTTTCAAAAAACACTTTATTGTGAGATTTTCACTAAACAGTTTTACAAAAATGCAACACGTATTTCGCCATACAATAGCTTTTTTGGGCGTAAAGACACGCCTATTTTTGTTAATACTGTTTATTGAAAATCTCACACTAAAGTGTTTTTTCGAAACGTTTCTCGATAAAGATAAAATATTATGAATGAATATACTTTGATTCATTATTAATCTGTTTGATTGGTGTGGATCAAAATAGTTTGTTTGATTATATATTGGAATCTGTTTGGCCAGTAAATAGTTTTTGTATAAATACACATTTTCTCATTTCATGAAAGGTTTAAAATTTTTGGGTTGTATAAATTCGTTTTTAGCAAAGCAATTTGCTATGTCTGGTAGTCTGTCGATTATATTCTCCAAGTTTACTTTTTCGTTATATGGCGCGTTATGAGGTTGAGTGGAAGAGCAGCTCAATTGAATAGTCAAATAATATTGTCATATTTTTTTTAAGCTGAACTCCGCCTATTATGCCAACAATTAGCATTTCATGATGGAAATAATTAATAGATCGAATTTAACAAAAAGTTACTTGAAAAAGTTGTGTCGACGGCAATTTTATATCCATATGCCAAATTTTATGCAACTAGGATAAAATTAACGTTTTGCTAATTTTTGACAGATATCCCCTTTATTTTAAAAAACAAGTTCGGTTAATAGTCATCAATTCATGTGTACATAACAAACTCATCATGGAGTTTAACTTTTCTGATCAATTTGTACTTATACGGACATTTATAGAGAGAAATTAAAAATGTGCTATAAACATTTTAACATGACCAACGAACAATGGGTTCCTTTCCTTGACAAGAAGGTTATCAGAATACCAGATAATACTCTACTCATAGATTGGTATCACGAGCCTATCAGTTCTGGTAGGTTCTTGAACTATTGGTCATACCACAAGCAGTCAACGAAAATTAATTTGGTCAAACAAATGAAGTACCGCATTCTGCAGATTTGCGATCCTTCTTTCCATAAAAAAAAATTAAATATACTTTTCCAATTATTTATTAATAACTCCTACTCGGATCCTCTACTAAAGAAGATCTTATTTGTTATGTCAACCATTGGCGTTCAAATCAACAATAACAACCAGCTGGATATAAATCCTTTACAGTCTGACAATGTCAAAATTGGGGCTGAGCCACCTCCAGTAATATAAAACTCCTATTAACTTTCAATCTCAATTAATCTATTCCAGTCCATGTTTAAATTGTGGTAGGGAATACATTGGTCAAACGTCAAGATTACTTAAAGACAGAATCAGCTCACATAAAAGTGATAGTAGGAGAGATGTGCTCTCAGTAATCATGTTTCTAAAGAAGGTGATAAAATGGACTACAATTCAACAAAAATTTTATCAACTGAAAGAAATACATCTAAAAGATTGTTTTTGGAAATGTCATTTATATTACAATCTAATAACTGCCTTAATAAAAGATCAGACATTGATCACCTCAGTCAAATCTATGTCTTTTTATTAGATATTGACAAAAATCTGCATGTTTTCCAAACCAATAATAATTCTGGTTTTTCATCAATTCAATCATAACATTTTGAATATTTCATTTTTAGCAAACTTCCAACCCGCCTATAGCAGGGCTTTATCTTCATTTAACAACACCTCTTCAATAGTTTTCCTTAAGTTAAGTTTTCTCATTGAGTTACTTACAGAACAGCAGATGTCTCTGATCACACTTGCACCATAATAGTTTTCATTTGTTCCATAATTTTATCATCGACAAACAAACACACTTTTTCAAACTGAATTATATGACAGATGTCATTGTTCCTCAACCACATGGCTTTTACCGGTAAACTATAATTTTAAAACAAATAACGATTTTTGAGTAAATTTTAATTCAATATTCTTCTTTGTACCCAGTTAGGAGTCAACCTCTTTTAATGTAGTGACTTGTTTATTGTATTGACATGTTTCAATTGTTTAAATGTAACATTCTTTCGACACGGCCAACCTCACTAACAGTAAGTTGTGAACAGTAAAAAAGAGAAAAATGAATTTTTGTTCAACAATAATTTTTTCACAGATTCTGGAAACGTTTTTATCAAAACAGAGGATGAAACAGTCATCGAAAAGAAAGAAGAGAGCTTCAATGAAAAGAAGTCATCAGCGTTATGTCAAAAGGAGTTTGGCACTGCAAATGATCAAATCGGGAAACATGAGTTAGTAGATACAACAGAGAGGCCCAGTTTGAAAATCCATGAAAAAACACGTTCTGTTGAAAAATCATTTGAGTGTACCATTTGTCAAAAGTCATTTCACAGTAATTATTTGAAAATTCATGAAAGAACACATACTGGAATAAAACCATTTCAGTGCAAAATCTGCTTTAAACCGTTTATTTGTAAAAGTCATTTGAAGGAACACGAAAGAATTCATACTGGGATAAAATCATTTCAATGTAAAATATGTCAAAAGTCATTCAGTCGAAGAAGTCATTTAAAAGAGCACGAAATAATTCATACTGGTGAAAAACCATTCCAGTGCAAAATCTGCTCAAAATCATTCACTAAAAGAAGTTATTCGAGAATCCATGAAAAAACTCATAATGAGGAAAAATCATTTCGATGTAAAATCTGCCAGAAGTCATTTACTCACAATAATAATTTGAAAATCCATGAAAGGATACATACTGGAATGAAACCATTTCAGTGCACAATATGCTTGAAGTCATTCACTGAAAGTAGTAGTTTGAAAAAACATAAAAGGACACATACTGGTGAAAAGCCATTTCAGTGTAAAATCTGCCGAAAGTCATTTATTCAAAATAGTAGTTTGAAAAGACATGAAAAAATTCATACTGGGAAAAAATCATTTCAGTGTAAATTCTGTTCAAAGTCATTTTTTCAGAGTGGTAATTTAAAATCGCATGAAAGAACGCATACTCGTGATAAATCACTTCAGTGTACAATTTGTCTAAAGTCATTTGTTAACAGTAATTATTTGAAAATTCATGAAAGAACACATACGGGTGAAAAACCATTTTAATGCAAAATCTGCTTGAAACCATTTATCAATAAAAGTAATTTGAAGGCACATGAAAAAACTCGTACTGGGACTAAATTTAAATGTAAAATGTGCCCAAAGTCATTTGTTTTGTGTAGTTCCTTGAAGTCCCATGAAAAAATACATTGTCGAAAAATTATTTCAATGTTCAATTTGCCCCAAGTCATTTAGTCGCAGTAATTCTTTGAGAATTCATGAAATAATACATACCGGAATAAAACCATTTCAGTGCAAAATCTGCTTGAAGTCATTCACTGAAAGTAGTAGTTTGAAAACACATAAAACGACACATACTGGTGAAAAGCCATTTCAGTGTAAAATCTGCTTAAAGTCAATTACTCAAAACAAGAGTTTGAAAGCTCATGAAAAAAAAACTCATTCATAATGCTTTTACATGCAGAACATACTGATGAAAACCATTTCAGTGTAAAGTCAACATGAAGTCTTCAAAAACCCATAAAAACCACAAAAAACATTTAGGAGTGCAAAGTTACCTCCTGATAATTTGTTTTCTGGTATCGAAAATCGTTAAGTTGATGGAATACATAGATTATCTCGAAATATAAAAATAATAATACTGTCTTTATTTTTTAATCCTTGCAAAGTCCAGTGTTAATTCTACTCTGCTTAACTGAGTACCATTTACAATTATTTTATTGATAAATACATTATAAACACTTTCTAAGGCAAACATAATTGAATAATTATTCTTACTATATTATACTTAAATTACACACATTATGAAGGTACTGAACATTAAGAAGAGAATGACGTCAGAAGATGACAAGTTACGCCGTTGCCAACATGTGCGCTACTTCGACTTTTCAAATTTTGTTGTTCTGTTGATTTGTTTTATTGCTATTAACCTTACTTACTATTAAGTTACTTAGTTGTAATACATTTAGAGTGTCACTTCACCATTTTTTCATAATGAGTGATGAAAAATAAAATATTTTATTTAAATTCGTTTAATTGTATATATTTTTCAATTATAACTCGTCATCATCATCGGAATCGAAATTTATTATGAGAGGCTGAACATCTTCCCTGTCAAACCCAACTTCTCTATCCCAATGTAATTTTGTTTTGTTTGGTTTGTCGAATAGTTTCAGCCTGTACATCAGGTGTAGCTTTGTTTAAAGCTTCTTTCCATATAGTCTGGGATTTGTCAGCTGAAGTGTCATCTCTTCCCACATTATCGCTATACAAATTTTTTGTTAAATATGATCGTTGGAATTAAAGATGCAGTGATACGGTGGAAGACGAAGCATTTGGCACTTTTAACGTTGGAATTTTGCCAGGATCGCCCAATGGTATAGTTCAAGTAAAAGATATAGTGCCCCCTACCTTCCAGCAGTTCCCCTTCAGTAACACACACAACGGCGGTACTCATCGCTACATTCTGTTGGTCACTGTAACATGACTTCAAATGTAATTTTATGACTTCAGCCAATCATAAAACTCGGTTAGTAAAAATATCCAATACGAACCGCCAATTCTTCAGTTCACATGGACTAATTCGTTGCGGCATAATTCCTTTGTATCGGTTTTTTTGGCCTTTGACCTCGCCGCACCTTTAAGGTCTATTCACATTATAGTTCAGGTCACGCTCAGCTCACACTCTACTCAAGCCGCGGTCAAATATTATTACTCGCTTTTAAACGAGACTATTCATACTTGGCGCTTCGCTCACGGTACGCTCATGCTCATTGATCGTGGTCTTTCTTTCCACGGATATTTTGAACGGACCGTGAGCGAACCGTTGTGCTAGTATGTTCAAATGTCACTCAGTCGGTGTGCATTTTTCTTCTGAATACCTTGTGTTTCTTTGAGTTAGTTAGGCAAAATGGCAAAATGGATAAAAAATTAATAGAATTGGTTAGGAATCATGAAGAATTATACAATATGGGCGACAAATTATACTTTGACACAGCACTGAAAAATAGAATATGAAGGGAAATTGCAGAGAAATTAAATGAAACAGGTAAATATATTGGAGTTTCTTTAATGCAAAAATAATTATGATGTAGATACGTATCCATACAAGTATAATAAGATCAATTTATATTTTATTTATTTGCCATGGAACTTTTCCAGCTTCCGTGTTAAAAAAACTGTTTAAATATTTCCCTACATTGAAAAGCATCTTCGCCAACATTGCCTCCTTGATTTGATTTGGCAAAGAAAAGAACTGAGACTGCTCTTCTCTACTTCCATCTGACGTATAGGCTGAACCACAGTTAAATGATGCACAATCCCGCAACAAATTATGTAAAATACATGTAGTTAAAATAATTTTCTCGACATTTCCTGGATTTGATTTTCTGAAATAAAGACGAAACTTTTGAGCTAAAATTCCAAAGCTGTTTTCCACTATATGGCGAGCGCGGCAGAGACGGTAATTAAAAACACGTTTTACCATATTGACAATAGTTTGAGGTTCAGGATATGGTCTCATAATATTCCTTTTCAAAGGAAATGCCGAATCCCCTATTATTACATATGGTGCCAGAATGTCAGTTCCAGGAAGCGCCCTGTCTTCTGGAATGTCTAGTGTTCCTTTTTCTAGGGCTTTTCCTAACTTTAAAGTAGCAAATATTCCCCCATCGCTATTTTTCCCGTACGATCCTATGTCAACGGCAATAAATTTCTGTTGCGCGACAACTAGTGCCAACAATACCACCGAAAAGGTGCGCTTGTAATTAAAAAAATTCGATCCACTATTTGGAGGGGCCACTATTTCGATATGTTTACCGTCTAGCGCCCCTAAAGAATTAGGGAAATTCCACAAGTGCCAAAAATCATTGGCGATCGCTTTCCATTTTTTTTTGGTTGGCGTTGGTATGCATTCTTGCAGTAAATTTGATATTATTGCATTGCAAACATCCCCTACAATTTCGTGGACGGTGGAATGGCCGAGGCGATAACCAAAGGCAATAGTTCGTAGTGAGTCTCCTGTTGCTAAATATCTGAAACGAAATAAGAATAATTGATTTATTGGTTGTTTAGGAAAATGGTGGAACGATTTTTAATTTATTTAAATTTACTTTTATTACTACGACAAATTTACCTCTCATAATAATAATAAAAGTTTATTATTAGATATCATTTTTTCATTATTTGCAGCTGATAAATGCAAGCAAAGATAGGAGTCACTGAGATCTCAATTTAGAAAAATATGTAAGACGAATGGAAGTACGACTGGTCAAGCCGCCAAGAAGAAGAAAAAGTGGAGGTACGAGGATGAAATGACGTTTTTGTTGCCGCACATGATGGATAAGGCCCGGGTATCGTCACTACAAATACACGATGGAACAGATGAGGAGAATATTGACGGTAACGATGAAGAGCAGGCTGAGGCTGAAGCTGAGACAAATGATGTTCCTGCAGCGCCCAGAGAAGTCGTTCAAAAAAAACATTAAAAAGAAAAGAATATCCAGAAAAAATCCTTTAAACACAGAATCTGCGAGTTCAACACTCATGAATTATTTATTAAGTCAAAAAAGTATTGAAGAATCAAAAGAAAAAGACTCCATAGATTTATTTTTTGACAGTATTAAGGCCACTGTACGCTCCTTTACACCAGCGGATTTTCATACAGTAAAAACTACCATTTTTAATGTAGTATCAGAAATCGCAAACATCTGTACCTACACCCCTATCCTCCGCATCCTCTTACTACGAACATTTTTCACCTAATACACCGCTTTAGGTAAAACCAAGTTTTTAATTATGTTATTTTTTGTTAAGTTCATAATGTAGTTCCTTTTGTGTAATAATGATGTATTAATAAAATTATTACTACCTAAACAGAATTTTTTTTAGAAGACTCAAACGACTCAAAATCAACATAATAATATGATTAAATATAATCATGCATGTACTGCATGAGTTTATTTTGTAAAAATAATTTTGTGTTTTGACTTACCTTAAACAAACAGCTAGTTTTTCTATTGGTGAAATGGACTCACGAAATGTACTATTTTTTTTTCGCTATATCACTTGAAATTTTATGTAAAATATATTGAAAAGTATATTTGGTCATACGAAAATATTGAAAAAATTTAGTTTCATAATCTGCAAGACCTCTATACAAAGTAAAAAATTCTCCTTCCGTTTTTCGCTTTTTTAAAATTTCGTGTACCCATATTGTCCTGCGTTTTTTGTTTTCGTTTCGGTTTTCGTCCTCTTCATCGTCCAAACATACAGCAATAATAGCTAAATCAGCATTTGAGATCTTTTTTAACATTTTTGATATTAACTGATAAAAAATAATGTTCTGACCAGACTGGATGTTGATCGTTCAATGTGAATAGTATACATATTCTTGATTGTGACCGAACGGTGAGCGAACCGAGACCTGAGCGCCTAATATGAATCAACCTTTAAGATTACTATATCGGTTACTTCGACTATACTATCTTTGAGTACCCAAGTTTAATCCAAGAATACAAACTGGCGTAAACCCTTTTTCTTAAGTTTCATGTAATCATGTAAAAGTTTATACGTTTCATTGCAATACTAGGCAGGCACCTCCATCAAACCACGACGTGAATCATCTTTTTTGTATGTAAAACCAATTTTTTCAGAATTTTTCATAAAGATGTCTTACATTTGAAAAGATCACGTTCTACAGTTTTAATCCATATTGGGTTCTTGATAATTTAATTATAATAATAATTATAAAACAAAACACTCAAGAAAGACATAAATGTGATGCACTGAGATACTACTGACAAATATGGACGCGTATCTGTGATTCAGTTTTAGAAAAGCAACAGGTCGAAGCGTGTCTGTGCGTGTATGCCTGCGAGTTAACTCGTAGTTGGCTTCCGCGAAGACGTTGTTATTTTTCGACAGGATTGCCCGATGTGCAAACTGTTTGGGTAATCCGGTCGGTGTGTGTCAGAACACCGTCGTGATTGCTGGCGTTCCAAATTATCTGTTTTGATCTGATTTTTCACGACGGTTTTGAATGGGATCGTGCAAGTCGGCCCGTATGTGGTAGGCAGACCGTTAGCCATGAAGTAGATTTTGAATATCAGTAGTGTGCGTATTCAGTGTATATAAAATGAGTGATTTGAAGCAATGTAGTAAACAATTTATAACGGAACTTACTGAAATGTACAGAAACTTTCCATGACTCTGGAAGTCAAATTGAGTGAGTATGCTGACAGAGATAAAAAGAATAAGGCGTACGAGGAGATGTCAACCAAGCTAACGGAAATTGATTCATCGGCAACAATAGAAATAGTGAAAATGAGAATTGACTCGATTCGAGGAACATCTTTTTTTAAAACATGGTATATATCTCTACCGGTTTCTGGTAGGAAGTGTCCCAAAACTTGGGGAGATATTTATCGCTGAAAATTTCAAATCTTCGTAGCTTCTTCCGGTAGCGATAAATCTCAAAGTGGCTGTTCATGGGTGGGTTATACTTTGACGAGAGGCTAAACCGCCCAGTCCTTACCAACGTTGCCAAGTGTACCCAGTTTGTATTTCGCGGGAAATTACAAAATATACTTTAAAAATCAGGTTATGTGTTAGAACTTGCTTTTGTTATACTGCGGTTTCTTTTTTTATCTACCTGTAAAGAAATTTGAATTCAGAAAATGCCAGTTATATGAGGTATATGTGAGAAAGTATATGCCACACAATCATCTCATAACAGACATATACGAGAAGTGCACCAAAAAAATCCAGAGCCTGTATCTTATTCATCTCAGAAGGGATGCGGTGCAATTTTTAGTAGTCGTTGCCTTGAAGCAGATTGTGATTTTGCATCCAAAACCCATAAGAATTTAGTGGACCATTTGCAGAGAATTCGTCTGCTGAAGTTTGAAACAGAGTGTCATGTTATGAAAAATATAAATGGTTTGTTAATTCTAAAATCAGAATAACACTATTTTGAAATTTATTTTTATTTATATCAGATTTTGAAATTTGGAAATCAAATACTGAAACAATTAACAATTGCTCTTATGTTTTGAAAAGTAGGAATGCTAGTACTATTGGTGAAATAGTGTACCTATTACAAGTGCAACAGGAGTACAAGTGAGTACTAATTTTATTATTGAGTGTAAAGGTATAGAGATTGGGTACAGAGATGCTACATGGATATGGTACTGCTGAGAGAGGGTACCTATATTTCAAAAATCAAAATATTAACCTTTATAAGTGCAATTTGATAAAGGGTGAGATAGAATAAAAAATTTGAACAGTTTATATCTCAAAAAGGGCTGATTGAATTTTTTATACACTCTGTCGTAGGTTACTATATATCCCCAGTGACAACAGTAATCGAAGACATATATTGTTGAAGAGCCAGGGATCTTGTAAGATAAATAGTTTTTGCACAAGTGAAATCAAAGTTGTTGAAGAAAACAAAATTCTGGTAGAGTGGCAAAAAGTACATTATGGTCGTAAGCTTGATATACAACATTAGATTGTCAAAAACTGAAAAACAAAATATTGCCACAAAGATAACAAATGGTGTTGCACCTCAAAGGTAATCATATTTTATACTTATGTTATCATCAGAGACTCATTAATAAACAATTCTTATCCCAATGTCTGCAGAATCCTGTGATTTAAATATAAAATAGCATCTAAATATTCACTTATCAATTTTGAATTATTCACCTTCTACCAGAATCCTGTGAATAACCTAACCAATTTTTTCACAGAATCTGGGAATTCACTCGTGATAATATTTGTGAACATTTGAAAAAAGCAGATTTGTTAACTACTAAGGATCTGAGGAATATAAAAATAAGCTATGGTCTTGAATTGAAAGATGGAAAGCGAGATTCGAATGATGCCTTTTCTGTGGCTCTTTGGGTGAAGGAATGTGAAAATCTCAAAGGAAATCCTATTTTGTTTAATAAAGAGTAAGGAAAGGACCATAGTATTTCAAGAAAAGAGGACTTGCTTGATAATAATGAACACATTTCAAAGACAAATGATGAAACAGTTTCCATCTACAATTACCATCGATAGTACCCAAGGCCTCAATGACTATGATTTTGAAATGACAACCATTATGGTCTTAGATGAATATCACCATGGTTTTCCAGTAGCTGAAATGTTCACAAATAGAAAAGATACCATACTGCAGAGTGTACTATTTCAGCAATCAAGGACACCATGTGTATGTACAATTTCACATTAGTTTGTTTTGGTGGTGGTTGGTACTTATAGTTGTTTTATTTCAGGAGTTATTCATTGTAAATTTTTCATGTCAGATATGGCTGAGGTGTTTTTTAACGCATGGTATGGGGTGATGGGTCCGCCTTATCCACAACACTTATTTTGATCCTGACATGTTGACAGAGCTTGGCAGAGCCAATTTAAATAAAATTTCCACTAAGGACAAGCGTTCAGAAATTTACAAAATACTAAAAATATTGCAACAAAAAACTATTGAATCGAACTTTGTTTCGGCTTTGGATAATGCTTTGAGTTATATGTGCAACAATGAAGTCACAAGACATTTTGCAGAGTATTTTTCTAATACCTACAGTCATAATTTAAAAAAATGGGCTTACTGTTTCAGAAAAGAAGCTAGCATTAACAAATATGCATTTGGAGTTCATGCAAAAAGTAATCAAGTATTTTTACTTGGAAAGAAAGACAGTAAAACGCCTTGACAAGAGTTTAAACATGGTATTGAAATATGTGAGAGACAAGAGTGTAAAACGAATTATTACATTGAGCAAGGGTGAACATACCAAACAAACAAGATTGATATCTCAGAATCACGAGGAGGCAATTGAAAATAGGGAAGAGTATACAATTTTGAAAATTGGTGATAACTGGAAAATTTCCAAAAATCAAAATATTTCATATACTATCGAAATGCTGTGAACAATAATTATGTTTGTTCTGTGAGGTGTGTATTCATATGTTTTCATGTGAGTGCAAATTCTATACAGAAAGAAAAATTATGCGCAAACATATCCATATGACGATAAAAAAATCTACGAAAACAGGAAAACATTTTAATTCGACTGATAGAGACATTTCAAGATCTGAATGCTCATCAGCTCTGGGAAAAGAACATCAAGAATCAAACATAGGACGCAGAATTATCAATACATCAATATCAATATCAATAAAATACATCAGCATTCATCCATAATAAATAATTTGGCTAAATGCACAAAATTGATAGAAAAGGATAATGAATTGAAACCCAAAAATAAATCTTCTAAAAGATACATTGATCCACAAATTAGGTTCACATCAACAAAAAAGAAACGCGTTCAGAAAAAAGCATTTCAACGGGCCTCCCCACAAAAACTGACAACAATTCAAGAAAACCTATTACACGCCCCTGAAAATGTATTTTTTTACAAATCAGTTCAACCTATAAGTGACCACCAATATTGTTGATTATTACCATTTCGATATGTATGTTTTTTGTTTGGCAGTAAACTTGTATTTTTATAAAGTCGTGTTTATTAGCGTAGTTCCTGAGTTACATTTTGAATTTCCCGCGAAATAGGAACTGGGCACACTTTGCAACGTTGGTACGGCTGGGCGGTTTAGCCTCTCGTTATACTTTGTCCCATGAGAGTGTCCTCTTTCTTGATTGAACGCGTTACTAACATAAGAAGTTCTAGGTACGTGTCTTCATCCATTCTCAGATAATTAAACCAATCACCTGGTTCTAACCGCAATTCCTGCAATAAATTAACGTGAGAGAATTGTTTCCCTTTTAGAAACCACTCTTCTGCCCATTTAGAGCGTTTTCTATTAGCATATTTAACTCTTATTGCTAAAACCGCAGCTAACGCCACTGTCGTGGCGAAAAAAACATGTTATGTTAAAAACATAAAATTTGTTTTGAAATTTAAAGAATTTTTGGAAAAATATTTATTAGACTTTTGACAATAATTTATCTTTGAACATGTTTATATATTGTATACACATTTGGAGTTTGAATTTCCTTATTATAATCGGCCGATGTTTCTACGGAAAGTTGAAATAAAGTTCATTGCATCACATATTTGAAAGAAGTACAATTTCACTTACATGGAACACAGTCATCCTCAATAACGGACATCCGATATTTCGGAATAAGACACTTGTCTTATTGCCTCTCCAGCACCAATCTCAGAAATTAATCTCTCCTAACAATATATCCCGTTTATTTTAATCAAATCACTTAAGGGTTCGTTTGGTACAGTTTATAACTCGCAATACAAGGTCTTTCACAACGAGCGTTCGTTAGGAATATATGCTGAACGATTCAAAATAAAAATGATTTACATTTCAAATATTTCCAAAAATCGGATATATCGGATATTTTAGGTATAGGACATTCTTCAGGAATTTGATATCTTTTTTTTTCGTAGTATTCAAAAATAACAGAATAGTGTATGGTTTCCATTTGGAAAAATCGGGTTTCATCAATTTTCTCGATGTTATGTTTTAGGTGGAAATTTCGACCACCCTGTGAATTATTTTCAAAAATTCGATGGACCTGTTCATGACTAGATACTTGAGGTGTGATTATGTGGAATTTCACATTTTCAACTGTTACTGTATATGAGTTATGATTTTTTCGGAGTGGTGCTGTAACTGTCGAAATTTTCAGAAAAAAATTAATACCTCGAAAACTAACAAAATTGGGTATAGGCATTGTTATATAAAGTGGACCTAAAAGTTGCTGAGAAATTCAAAAATGTAATAAAATACAGGGTTTGTTTGAAGGTGATCTTTCAGGTTCCCGTCTTCGGATAGCTTTCTCTGTATGATTTGCAGTGCTTCTTCGACCGGAACGTCGGTGTAAAGGCTTTTCACGTCGAAACTAATTAGTTGAAATATTTGAAATAAGGAAGTTGCCCTCAACGTTATACCTCCGGTATAACGGAAAGAGATCGGAAGTTGAAAATATTTTAGTTGAAAAGGCCATTTTGTAAAACCCCCTACCACAAAATTTCAAGTTTTTATTTCGAATCGTTCTCCATATATTCCTAACGAAGGTTCGTCGTGAAAGACTCTGTATATCAAATGTATGTTTCGTCAGGGAAGGTTTTCATTAATTCTTGGAAGAAAATGTTTTTTCTGAATTATTTTTTATGGAAGTATGTTTGATATTAACTAAGTTTGTTCTTTTATCAAAATACTGCTTAAATTTTTTTCAATAAACACTCATTTCCTGTTATCATAATTTGTAGACACCATTATTGCAATCAGTTTTATGCAATATGTGTTTTTTGTGATATGCAAATAAAAATGTCATGTCTTAATTTTAGTAATTTATATGCTCTCAATATAAGTATTTAAAAAACAACATTTAGTTTTAATAAACATCAAAGGTGTTTTCTAGCGTTTAATCGTATTCGAGCGTGTATTCAAAAACGATTCGTAGTGATGTCATTAGTAATAAGATGGAATGATTCAGTTTGTGTCATATGTTAAACTCGATGATAAAAAATCTCTTCAATATTCTCTAACCTCAATTAGAAACGGGTGTGTGCATACACTAATTTCTCAGTTTTATTTTGTACATCCTCAGAACGTATTTGATAAAAAGTTTTCAGTAGTTTATAAACTATAACGATCAAAATAAAACATATCCTGACAATTGACGTGAGATAACGTGAAATTATGTTTCAAAACCAACCTGACGCTAGATTTGATTCATCATGAACACGTTTCAACGCCAGAATAAATGTATTGCAATTGGAACCGACGCCAGTCCGGATTATCAAATATCCGGATAATTGAATCTGGTCAATAGTAAAGGCTCAATGAAAAGACAAAAACTTAGAAAGGGTTTGAGTGACTAAAAAAATGACCAATTTAGTATTTAAGAGTATATTATTTAACGAGAGAGAAATGTGGCTCGTTAGAATAAAGTTTATCGATCTGAGCTCAATGCAGGCGCTTTTCAATAGTCCTACAAAAATATAATTTTATTACTGTTGAAAGTTAAACTACAGTGAAGTGAAAATGAGGCACTGAAGCTTTTTTAAAATACCTTTATTGTTACAAAACTTGAAAATAGAAATACAAAATACATAAAATTATACGTGTTGTTGCTTTGAGGAATGAAGTCTGACTGATTCTGGATGTGTGCGCTCTTGTGAGAACTGTCTTGTCAGCATCTGGAACAGGGTGGTGTTACTGTTAGATCAGCTATATTGTCCTAGGTGGTGAGATAATTCTTCCCCCCGAAGATTCAACTATCATGCACAGCGGGGTAGTTGAACAGTGGATAGGTCGGTTCCTTCATTTATTACTTGTAGTTGGTTCTCTTCTTGACTTGGCTTCCTACTGGTATGTCGATTAAGTAGGATCCAATTATTCTTTGAACTTCCTCTTGTTCATTACATTGTAGGTGGATTGTCATTTTATTTGGAAATATCGCTGTCCATTGGGTAGAGTCCTCCAGTTGGTTAGCTATTGGCTTAGTAATCCTAACATCGATCTGCCTACATGTGGAAGTGTCTTCCATCTTCAGGAGTTACAGCTCACAGAGATTTCCAGAAATTTCTCTAATCGGCATTTTCTTGCAGACATAGAATTGTGGTTCGACTTTGACACAATCGTCGCTTTTAAATGTGAAATATTCTGAGTTCTTCAATAAAAATGAATTTTTGAGTATAAGTGCCTTGAACTGACTTTGACTATATGTAGGGATTGAATATAAGTGATAGTAATCGAAAATGTATAGATATGTGATTGGAACCTGAAGAAGAAAGGTTATTCTATTATTCAAAATAAAACATTGGATGTTTATGAATTTCTCTAATTTCAAGATGTTTTCTAAAGTAATATTAATAGGAAATTGATTCTTTGCAATAATTCCGCGTAATTTAAGAAGTTTGGCGTATAAATCAGTGGGTTTCACTATGCTTGGATGCATAATGTTGAGTTTCGCGAATGCTATGGAAATATTCAATGTGCTGTCAAACATATCAATCATTTGGTTGAGTATATCGTGAACATATGCTCTATTTTCTTCACAACTTTTTGTTTGGAATATGGCAGCAATATAAACTATTTTTTCTTGAAGAAATTTTTCATTGTGAAATTATTTGTTGAATAGTTTCATTGAATTTATTGATCAAATTGATTGAAACTGAATTTTGTTTCCCTAATAAGTTTTTCGTACCGCTCCCCGTCTTCTGCATCGAGGTTTCCTGTAATTGATTTAAATATCGAACCAATACCATTAATCAATCCTCTTTTGATTTGTTTGGGATTTGTGATTTTCTGTTTCAGCTGAAGAAATATTGCTTTGTTTATACTAAGTGTCTCTATAGTTTGTCCGCATTGGTCGTTCTGTTTTTGGATTTCAGTTATGAATTGATTCAGATCATAGTAGTGTATCAGTGTGTGTGAGTATTGTTGACTTTTGGCAGTGCCCAATTTTAAAGGTATCATACCAGGATTGTTTTCCAAGTTTTTCAATGTTAATCTATCATGAAGTCCGATCACAAAAGGTATTCTGAAAAGAAATGAAATGAACTATTTATTAAAATCATAGCACTTCTTTCTTGGTCTTTTTAAATTGTCCATGTGTACTTTTTCATGATTTTCTGTGGAAACTGTCTTCATAGATTCGTCTACTTTTGTGATAGTGGTCGGTTTTTCAAATTTGTTAGCGTGTTTTTGTCTCAAGTGTTTTTTCACGTACGTTTTAGAATTAGGTTTGAACATTTCTGGATTATCGCGCGTTTCATTAGATTTTGAAATAACCTTTTCTTTTCGATTCATTATTTTTCTGTTTATTTCCGCGTAAAGTAATTTAGTTTTTTCTCGGTGGTCATTTGTATAGTCATTGAGAAGAATATTGTCTATGTCGATATCGAATGGATTTTCATTGGTTATATGTCCATTAACTATATCGATGGGTTTTAATTTTGTTGCGGAATGTATTGAGTGATTGTATGCAAGTATAGCGTAAACCATTTTCGTTTGAGGCGGTGTTTTGAAAAATCCTCTAGTATTAAGAAGTCTAATGTGTTCAATGAGAGTAGAGTGAAGTCTTTCGATTTGTCCGTTTGATTGGGGATGATTGGGTGAGCAGAAATGTACATTTATTTTGTGCAGTTTGAGAAATTCTT